TGGAGATTATTTAGATTAGGGGATAAAGGAAAAACGCTTTTTGTTGCTGGTTGGATAAAAGTGGTTTTGGATGGGAACGAGTTAGTGTACTTTTCGGTGTGGGATTTTGAAGGCAGAGATAAAAAGAGAGAAATGTAAAGCGCGGAGGAGAGAAATAGAGAGACAAAGATACCAAAGGTAGAGGAAGAACAAACAGTAGAAAAAGTAATAAATATAAAAACAGAACTAGCGGGTTGTAAAAAACACAACCCCCCCTTTCCCCTTTTTTCCCGCGGGGAGGCAGGGGGGGATTACCCAGGCTGCGGCTCTAACGTACAACCCCCCGCCGTCTGCTCCGTTCCTGGTGATGATAACCCCCAGACCCGCCACGAGGTAGTTGAACACCCAGAGCCCAATAACGGTGGCGTAAACTGCGCGTTGCGGAGGGGTGTAGTTCCGGACTACTGCCAGATAGGTGTGGACGGCGATGGCGGTGATGAAGCAGCTTGACGAGAGGTCGCCGGTGGAAACAAGCCATCCCTGAGCCCAGCACGCGGGAGTGTGAACGATGATACCATCTCTTCCTAACCAGACTGCGTTCAGCAAAAAAGCGCTGGCTTGGTGGATATCGGCCAGGAGAAGGTTATAAACCAAGACGAGGAACTGGTTTGGGTATGCCTTCTTGCGTGGTGTCGACTCGGCATTCTCTCTGCCGCGGCTGTTGTTCCTCCTGCACGGTGGAAAGAAATGTCGCTCTGCAAGCCCAAGCGTGAGATCGATCGACGAAGGTGCCTGAGCGTCTGTAGACTGTTGCCGTTCCAATCTCCATTGCTTGAGGTGCCATCGCACGAGCTTGACGGTGAGATACACGAGGAGAACCGTAGAAGAAACAAACGACAGGCCGGCCAGGACGGAAACACCCCAGAGACCTCGACGGTGATCCAGCGGTAGAGGGGTCAGGCTGTCGATCTCGTTCTCCGGAGCATGGGGATCCTCTGCCGCCATCTTGAAGTCTCAAGATATGCCCAATATCCTCATCGCCAAGTTTGAAGTGACACACCAGAACGAGGCGGAAGCATGTGGGTCAGGAACAAATAGTTGTGTAAATGTGGCTGTCAACGAACAATGTAGAAGCAAGTCCGTTCAAGTATGGACATATGTCAGATTACACACTGCCGGTCCGGGTGCCACGGGTGCTATGCTGAGCAGAGGGGCCCCGGCTGCGGCGCTTCGGGATGAACGATGGGCTCTTGGACGATTTCCTCACGATCGCCGCTGCGTCTCTGCGGCAAAGGTGTCATGCAAACAGACAAGTGCGAAAATAAGGTAGGCTGCGTCGGGTTGCAGAAATCTAAGGGCTGTCCGACTGGTTGACGCAAAGTGCTGTGCCTCAGTCAACCATCCCCAAGTTGTCCACCAGCGATCACTTCTTGGAGAGGATCCAGAAAGAGCCTTGCTCCAGACCGCTCAAGTGAGAATGAAATCCACTGTTTCGTTCAAAAGCATGGCGGTGTCTCGACTTGGAGTGACACGCGGAACATTAGCTTCCACAGGGCCCAGGACCTGTTTTATTGCCAGGTAACCAGCCACCAGGAACAAGGCTTTGTTTGAACGCGGCTTGATTGGCGTAGTCTGTACTCCTGCGTAGCTGGTAAACGTGGGAGAAACCGTTTGTGGGTAACGCAAGTGTCAGATAAAACGAGACAGCAACATCCGAAGTCAGGCACATCGGACGGCACAGATCGGTACTTGGTGATGGGTTACACAACCCGGTCAGATAGGAAGGTAAGAAAGACGGGAGCCCTGGACCGGCTTCATTCCCTCCGGCTCACGAGGAGAAGTTTGCGCTGGTGAACAATCGGACTCGAGAACCGTGCATGCTGGAAGACTTGCTGGTTCATTTCGAAGTGCGTAGCATCGCATTAGAAGGATCTATAAGAACTGATCCTGCGACGCTGAGCAAGTCGTTCCCCCCGAGTTAAGCCGAAGATCCCGAGAGTAGACGACGAAGAAGACATCGTCACCACGGTCGTGGCTATGATGAATCCACGGGAGGGGCATATGCATACTGATTCAACAGACTGTGCTGAGGCCATGGATTCCTCAAAGAAGCCGCTCAGGACTGAACGGTGAATGACAGATGCCTCGAAGGAAACACGTGCCGAGTCCCGTGACAGCCCACGGTGAAGGGTGCCCCAGAGTGGGTCTGTTTCTCATTGGCAATCGATGGTGCAATCCGCGCTAGTCCCAAAATGGATGGGTTGTAAGAGCATGGCCTTGAGGTGTCGACGACATCGACCCTTTCTCCTCCTTTTCTCCCTATTTCCTCTTCTCTACAGCACCTGCGACCGCCTGGAGATGTCTCCCTTTCCCCTGTATTCCATCGGTACCCCTTTTGTTGCGATGCGACACTCATCCAGCATTTGACAACCAGTACCCCGAGAGCCACTTCCTCCTTTGGACCATTATCCACATCACGATGGCACGCTTCAACAGTCGAGGACAACAACAACAATGTTCAGTTCATAGGGAAGTACATCTCTCATTGTCAAATCAGTCTGCATTATCACTACGCTACTTGGTGTGGTCATGATCATTATCCAAAAGCAAATCCCTCCAACTCCGAGCAGCAAGTGCTGACAACCAAACGCCGGCTTCCCTTATTATTCCCATGACAACAACAGCCTCCCCTTTCTCACAACTTCTTTCCATACGCCGAGTAGTACCCGCAGTTCTTGATGTGGCTTTTCTTCCCTGTCTCTTCATTGAAGATATGGCAACCCCCCTTCGCAACATTTGGTGGCGTGTACAAGTGAAGTGAGACAGCGAAGTCGCTGCTTCTGTTCCAGACCCTGTGTACACCGAGCTCATCGGCCATGTATGCTACCTGGTTCTCCTTGTACACCTTCTCCGATATCACCTTCATTGGCTTCTCCTCCTCCTCACCCGCCTCGGGAAAGGCATATCTCGTTTCTGTCAAGTCGCCGCGGAGGATTTTCATCAGGCAATGCGCGTTGCCGTGGTCATGGATGGGGCTCCCCTTTCCAGGAGACCACACGAGAACAAGCTGTTTTCGTCCAATCAGTCAATTGCTCAGGGGCAAGTAAACAAACCCTCCCGTCAGGGGTCAACACTGGGCGGGGAGACATACCAAGTTGCTCTTGCCGTTGCCTTCGTCCACTAGGTTCCTAGTGTATCCTCTGCTAGCGTCGCCCATGGCGAACTTGGCCCATTCCCTCTCGTCGGACTTGTAGTCCTTCATCAGCTTGGTCAGGAACTCGACGTCCACATCGTCCGACGTCAGACCAGATGATGGTCCTAGAGCTTCCTTGAGTGCCAGGACCAGCCTGTCGAAGCGGTTCACGTCGACATTGAGGCTGCACTCAAAGGCAGCCAGGGTGCCAGGGCGGACAGTCTGAACGATACCAACCGCCATACTGAAGATTGCGAAGCGGACTGCGACTTGGGAGGAACACGTTGCAAGATGGTTGACGGGTTGGAAGGGCTCCGATACTGTCCGTTGGTGTGGAGCTCAACGGGATGGCCGGCAATAAGATTCACAGAGGGGATGATAGTCCAAAGGATGGTCAACAATCAATAAGGATGTTGTTGATGTCTTGTGGTTGTTCAGAGGAGTCTTGAGGGTCGATAGATAGGATAAAGGATGGGGTTTGAGGATGTTGAAAAGGACAAAATGGCGGTGGAAGGGACTTCCAACTGGGAGGCAGTCACCCCGGGGGTGGTTGAACCACAGCGGCGCTATCCTGCCGGTTGGCACCGATCTCGGTGGGTCATCTGGAGGGGTGGCACGGCTAACCAGACCATGTGACCCGTTTCTTTACGTTATTCCAAGTCGGAGAGCCCAAATATCGTCGGATACAGCAGCCAGCGTCAGAAAACGAAAACCACAGCCGAAACCTTGTTCGTGTTGGATTTCTGGTGGTTTCGCGATGGTATTAAGGGTGGCATGGGAGGTGGAAGCAAGTTGGAGGACCAACTTCAAGAATGTTGGTGTCGTCACTCTATCAATCGGGTGGGCCGGCGTTGGAGTCTTTGAAGGTGGCACGGACCTTCTGTCCAATACCCGTTGATCGCTTGATGTGTTCACCATGGTCCGAACGGGTCTTGACAAGGCCATTGTTCAGATGAACACCACGAAAACATGCAGGTCTTTACGATAGGCAGATGGTGTTGGGTAACGTCTCGCAAGGAGACCCTGAAAAACTACATTTGGTCAGCTGTACGACCTTTTCCACCTAGAGTTTCCATGCACCGTCAAGGTTCGTCTTGCATCCAGCCAACACGACGCCAATGCAAAGCACAGGCCGACTGGCTGAACACAAGATACGGTCACGAACATCTTCATCTCTGCCACTCGTCGGTGAGACAGCGAGTGATAGGCAAAGGGACGGTAGGATGGCTGAAATCGAAACGGCGTCAGAGGTTTCAGTGATGTCTCTACCTACAATCAAGCTCCCCAGCAGGGAGCAAGGGTAGAAATCTCTATGCCATGTTGAAACCCCTTGTCGAACCTCCGTCTTCCCCGAACCAAATGATTGGACCACAATCTCATGCCGTGCTCTAGGGGGGGCAAGTGGCGGCTACCACCGGGCGCGGTTCCGTTCCGGTCCCGCATCCGCTCCCCCCCGGGCCCCCCTTTTCCGCCAAACAAATGGGTCCGTCCTTGTGTAACAACGCACTTTGACAGTGCGACTAGATTTCTATCTTCCATTGCGCAAAATAAAGCGCTAAATACACCCCCATCCCATCTCCCGCACCTCCCATTACCCAAACACAATATTTGTTGTGATAACCCAAAAAACCCACCCCGTTTCCCAAAACGCCTTACACATACATCATACACACATCTCTTCTAGATTCATAACCGCACATCACCTCCTTGTACTCCCCCTCCGCCTCGTTCCCCCACCACCATCATCATCCTCACCATCCTGCTCCAACCCCCCACCCCCCTCATCAAGCTCCATCTCCGTCCCCTCCAATATCCCCCCTGCCTCCTGCCTCCTACTCCCCTCCCAGCTATCCCTCAACCTAACCCTCCCCCCACTCCACCCCGACACCCTGTCACTGACCCACCCCGCAACCCCCCTCATAACCTCCCAAACCCTCTCCTGCCCCTCCTCCTCAATCCCCAGCATCTCCCTCTCCCGCTCCCCATGCTCTGCCGCCTCAGCCTTGAACTGATACTTCAGACAGTCCTTCACCGTGACCAACCCCATCAGGCGCCCCCTATGCTCGATCAGCACCACCCTCGGGCCAATCTTTCGAAACAGCTCCATCACCGTCTCCAACGGCAACCTAGGGTGGACCGACAAGGGCGTGAGGTCGATATAAGGCGAGAAATCAATCGTCGTCTGGGTCGAGGTGCTGTAGTCTGGTTCGTGTTGCTCCCCATATGGAGCGGAAGACGAAGAAGGGGTGGCCGGGGCGTAGATTGTCGGGATTGGTTCGATGTTAGTCCGAGGAGCAAAGGTGCACTTTGCCAGAGGCGAAAGGGTCCTCTCTTTCCTCGCGCGCTCAGCCGCGTAGCAGAGCTCCGTCCGGCCAATGTAACCTAGCAGGATCTTGTTGTTTTCGTCGTCCACAATTGGGAAACCTTGGTAAGAGTCCTTGGAGAGGAGTCGCTCCACCGCCTTGAGCGTGAGACCCGTCGAAGGGATCGACACCACATCCGCAATCATAGCGTGGGACACGGGCACCCCAAAATTGTGGTCCTCCTTGTTGTCAAGATAGGGAAACCCGCTGAACCAAATCATCCTATCCGCTATCCCCCCCTTCCCAAACAACTCGCTGACTGCCTTGGTCACCCCGACGACAATCATCGTCGGAAGGATGTAAGTCAGCGCCCCCGTAAGCTCAAACATAATAACCACCACCGAAACAGTGATATGCATGATCCCGCTCAATGCTGCCGCCGCCCCCAAAAACGCATACGTTCCCGGCGTGATGCACGGCACATCCGGCTGGCACGTCAAAAAGAACACGCTCCCCGGATTCGCCTCATGCAACGCCTGCACGATAATCCCCACCGTCCTCCCAAACGACGCCCCAATCGCCATGCTCGGCACAAATATCCCAGCCGGCACCTTGCACCCATACGAGATAATAACAAAGAAAACCCTCACCACCGTAGCCACCAACAACGAAACCACGTTCCTCAGCCGATGATCCGGCTCGCACAACCCGTGGTAATCCTCCGCGCCTTCACACTCCAAAAACAAAATCTCCATGCTCTCCGTCATCTCAATCCTCAGAAACGCGTTGGGGTAGCAGACAATCGCCGTCGCGGCCGCCAGCAGTGTCGCCTCCAAGATGGCGTAGTTGGACAGGTACTTCTTCCGAAACGCCTGCACTCTCAGGTTCCACTTCATGACAAAAGCACCATACAACCCCCCAAAGATCCCAATGATGATGTAAAACACCACCTCGAAAAAGTGCCACGTCCTGTCGTACTTGACCTGGAACATAACCAGCTGTCCAGTACGAAAAGGGTTCATGGCCGCGAGAACAGCCGTCGCGACCAGAGCGCAAAAGTAACTGCGCCACATTGTCTTGAGGGGGAAGTAACTAGACATCTCTTCAAGAGAGAAGAGCACACCTCCGATGGGACTGCCAAAAGCAACCGCCACACCTGCCGCGGCGCACGCGCTGAGGATCTCCCTGGTTTTGGAGGCGTTTCGTCTGTACTTGGTAAACATTCTCGAGATGACGTTGCCCGTGCAGACGGCGTAGTGGACGCTGGGCCCTTCTTTTCCAACCGAGAGACCAGAACCGATGGCGAGAGGTAAGGCGATGGATTTGATGAGGAGGGTCCAGAAACCAAGAAAGCCCTTCATGACAAAGCCTGCGATGATGCATTTGATCTCTGAGATGCCCGATCCAGCCGCGTAGGGGGCGTATGACTTGACAAGCGTCGCTGCCGTAAAAGAGAAACAAATCTGTCCCCCAGTCAGCATAATTTCAGAGCACAAAGGCATCCCGTCAACACCAACCGCAAATATGATATAAATAACATAATTCACTGGCTCAAACCCCGTCCACCTATGCCAGTCGGCGCACCCGTTGTCTTCCCCCCAACAGCAAAAGTTTTCGTTCAGGTAGAACCCCGTCTTGCAATACCCAAGCTTGATGTCGGAAAGCCATTCGGTGATGATGTTGAGAAGGGCGGCGTTGAGGCCGATAGCGGCGCCGATGATGGTTACGACGATCCATCCCTGTGCTGCCTCGTAAGACTCTAGTATCCTCTGCTTCCAGTCGAATCGGCCTGTGTCGTAGAGACCCGCGGTTCGTTTCCTTCGTGACTTTCTGCGTAGTTGTTCGCGGGCGGCGTCTTGCACCCAGTCTGTTTTCCGAGTTTGGTCAGTGCTGGCAATGCGCCCATGGTCATGAGGGTTGGGAGGAGCATACCGATGGTTGTGAAATCCTAAGCACACAAGAAGATGTTAGCTAATGGTCCACGAACGTGAACGAGGAGAGGACCACCAACCTCGTAGCGCTTGATCTTTGCTATCTCCTCCTCTATCTGGTGTTGCACCGCCATCCCCTGGCCATTACTGTTCTCCCCCCTCTCGGCGTTGGAAACCGCAAAGGACAGTCTCGAGCTGACGGACGGGCGTCGCACTGCTCGTGGTGCTAGGGTCGACGAGTAGGACGTCGATCGTGATTGCGGATTCATGGCGCCCCGGGCCACCTGTTTGTCGCTGGCGGTCTTTGGGTCATTAGGTGGTTGACTTGGAAATCAAGAGGAGGCTGGTGATCGCGATTGCGTCGCTACAAGGCTGATGACATGTGGTGTGGTGGACTCGGCGGCTCTCAATCAGAGGGGTCCCCCCCGCCTGGAAAAAGGCTTGGCTCAGCCGCTAATTCAACTCGTTCGTCCCTGGCAGCTTTCGGTGGGGTTCTCAACGACGCCTCTCTTTGAGGCCTGTGGATTTGATTGGATGCGCGCGCCATGGACCCTTTGATCGCGTCTCACGCGCCGTGTCTTGATCTTTTGACTTGACGACAGCCTCATTCACATCATCAGGTATCAGTCTGATCAGCAACGACGGCCAATTCATACCAGCTTCACCCGAAGCGCCAATGCTTCTTTTCAGAGACACAGTTCAAGAGAAGTAACCACCCTCACCACACCGAATCCTCCATCTCGCCAACCCTCACTCCCCATCTCATCAAGATGCCCTACAACACCACCGCCATCCCCCCCCGCAAGGAAGTCACCGGCCAAACCCAGCTCCCCCTCACCCGCGTCAAAAAAATCATCGCCCAAGACCCCGACATCCAAGTCTGCTCCAACAACGCAGCCTTCGTCATCACCCTCGCGACCGAAATGTTCGTCCAGTACCTCGCCGAACAAGCCCAGGAGAAAACAAAACTCGAACGGAAACCCCGCCGAAACATCCAGTACAAAGACATTGCCAACGCCGTCGCCCACCAGGACAACTTGGAATTCCTCGAGGACGTGGTCCCCAAGACGACCTCCTACAAGGACGTCAAAGGCAAAGCCGCTGCTGCCAGAACGAGGGTCAAGGGCGGGGATAAACCGAGTGGGGATCAGCCTGAGGGGGGGATGCCCAATGGGAAGAAACACAAGGTCGCTGCCAATGGGGCTGGGAGTTCGCCGGATGGGGGAGTTCAACGGAGCAGGATTTTGAGCACGAGTGATGCTGGGGATCCGAATGCGCAGTTGGAGGCTGAGGCGGAGGCGGTTGTTGCGAGGAGGGGGGGGAATGATGATGGGGATGTTGATATGACGGGCTAGAAGGGGGGCGTTACGCTGAATTGATGAAGGCTTGTCTGAGTGGAAAGGGAACAGGGAGGAGTAATGATAAACGAACAGTAAAATTAATTACTTTGTTTTTCTCACCAACTCATCACACTGCCCGCGAATACATGTTGGCAGCGGCTTCTGTTGTCGTTCCCGAGCACATTTCCCTCTTCTTCATGGGTACCTTGATGGTCAGGCTGACCGAGGTGATCTGACATGACCATCAGCTTTCCTTCAGCCCCTCTCATGGTCGCAAACGGCAGACGCCAGCTCGAATTTGTTTCCAACGTACCGCTGAATTCCATAACCCTGCTGTTGTGCGTCGGGAGAATAATATCGTCATTTCTTACGAGTCGAGAAAGTAGCCAAGGTATACAAGACTCCAGCCATCACAGCTGCCTCTGAATGATATGATAACCAGTCACCAATGCCCAATGCTATCCGAAAAGAAGAAGAACAAGAGAGATAACCAAGCCGAATCAAACCCCAGAAGCCACCCTCACGATATTTCATACGGCCTCCCATCCTCAAAAATCAACTCGGGCTTCCTCCTCGCCAGATCCAAAACCGTCTCGGCAAACACCCCATTAGCCCACGCAAACCAACTCCTCGTATAACTGGTCACCCAATTAACATCAACACTCTCATGCACCAACCCCAACCGACTCCCCCTCAGCACCAACCCAAGACACTCCCTAATCTCCTCATCATCCCCACTCGTCCTCGCCTGAACCAACAAGCTCATCGGCCACGCGTTCTGCAACCCAATGTGCGGCCCCCCAATCCCCCTAAAGTCCCTCCCCTTCAAATAATACGGATTCCCCTCCTTCTCCAGCAACATCCTCCTCGTATTCTGATACACCTCATCCTCCACCCCAACAAACCCCATCAACGGCAGCGCCAAAAGCGACGGGTAATTCGCATCATCCATCATCAACGCACTCCCAAACCCGTCAACCTCATAAGCAAAAACCCTGCCATACTTCCTATGCGTAACAACCCCATGCTCCCAAATTCCCTCCCTCATCCTCTTGCTGTACCCCTCCATCTCCTCCGCAAGCAGCCTATCACCCCCATCCCCCGTCTTCCTCAGCACAGCCGCCGCCCGCCCGAGCTCAACACTCATCTGCGCATTAGCCGGGATGAAAAACCCAAAAATCGTCGCATCATCACTGGGCCGGAACGCAGACCTCACCAGCCCAGTCCCATTATTCAGCGGATTCCCCACACCCTGAAGATTAAGCGTCTCCGTCCCGGTATTGGTCCTCCGTTGGAAAGTATACTCGTTCAACCTGTACCCCCCCGTGGCAGAATCAAACGTCGGCTGGCTCTGCGACTCCAACACCCTCAGAACGTTCCTCACAGCCTTCCGCCAGCGGGGGTTGATGAACTCCTTGCTATTCGTCTGCTTATGAAACTCATTGCCCAACGCCAAAAAGTGCGCGACAGAGTCAAGCTCGTATTTGCACTCAAACACAACGTTCGGTTCATATACCGGGTGAACCGTGTCGTCCTGGCCGTTCATGCTCACCGGCAGTCCCGAAATAGGCGGTGGTTGAAACGCGTTGCAGTAAGGGCTCTGGATGACATATTCGCTCTGGGTGTTGATCGCCCCCAGAATCAGAGTGTAGATCGCCGGATCCTTCAGCGCAAGGGGTTGATACGGCTTAAGCTGGTTGGTGCTATCCCGCAACCACTCAGCAATGATATCCCCCGTGATGATGAACGACTGCGGCCCTTCCCACTCGCCATCCTCCCGGAAGCTGTTCCCCTTTTCTCTCTCCTGGAGCTTCTTCTTGATCTTTTCGTCTTTTCCGTCTGTATGGAACCTGACCGTCGTGTCTGTCGTGGAAGGGAAAGCGTTCTCAAACAGGCGCGCAAGGTCTGGGTCTTTCATCCGAGAGGTGACGTCCTTGATGACCTTTTCGATTGCGTCGGACTGGAATGTTCGGCATCGTGGGTCGGGTCTTTGGAAGGGGAGTTCGAGGGGTCCTTTGGAGTATGGTCCGCTGTGGTGGGAATGCTTAGTTTCTACCTGTGTCCAAGCAATCATGGAGCTGCTGAGAAATTGCCTTACTGGGGATAGGTAGCGTAGTGGGCGTAGTCTGGACAAGCCGACTTGTCAAACTTGTGCGTCAGCGGCTCTTGGTTCGCGTAATCTCCAACTGTTGCCGATGCTGGCGCATAGTCAAATGCCAGCAACGGCAGCAAGAGATAGCTCCATCGAAGTTGAGCCATCGTTGCCGCGCGCACTCTTGCGCTTCTGTGAACAATCGGGGTTTATGGTGGGGTGAAACCGATGACGGGCTGGCTCAGGGACAATCGCAACGCATCATAACACACTCCACATGCTTTTATAAGAACGAGAAGGCAAAAAGATGACCTCCGATATGGAAATTACTCGGAGGGTTGTTGTCAAGGTGTCAATTGAGCAGCGGGCACAAGACTTGGAGACCATTCCTTGGGGAAGTTAACGTTGTGCTGACACCGGATAAGATAACAAACAGCTCTCCTGCAGCCCTAGGCTTGGCGAGCTAGGAATCCCGGCAAATGCGGGGAAGAGCCCCTGACCGTCGTCGGAGCCAGGAACCCATGCAGCCTTCACTTCTGACATCTGAACATGAGATCTCATGTGTCAATTTGTATGGTTCATGCTCATGAATATTAAATCATTTGGCCGTCTTTTAAGACAAGCGTGGTTACATCTACTAGAAACACATTCAAGCCTTCTTGGAAAAGAAAGACATAATGCTGCCTTGACCTTTGGCCGCCGGCTTCTTCGCCTTGGAACCCTGGGTTGAAGAAGCAGAGCTGGTGGTCTTGACGACCTTGGGCGGCGGAGGAGCTTCATCTTCCGAGAAAGACTCCCACCCAGGTTCTTGGATGGTAACTGGGCAGATTGTTAGTCTCGTGATAGTTGAGAACTGATCGTAGGGACTTACCAAGGTATCCTTGCTCATCCATAATCTGCTTCTTTCGCATCACTCTTCTCCTACCACGCCGGCGCCCGTTGCTCGTTGTTTCAACAACCTCCTTCTCTTCCTCGACAGGTTCTGGCGCCTCTTCCTCTGCTTCCATCGGCTCAGGCTCAGGCTCTTCGGGAGACTCAGCTCTCTCTGAAGCCGGCGCCTCCTCGTTATCGTCCTCTTCCATCATGCGCCGCAAATCCTCCTCCCTCTGTTTCTTGGTCTTGGATCCGGGCTTGGGACGAGCCTTTGGCTGGGGCATCTCCTCTTCGTCGTCATCTTCGTCAGACAGTGCCGGCGTGTTCGTCTCCGTGACAGCTGGTGACGCCGGCTTTGATGATTTTTCTTTCTTGGGCAGTGCTGTCGCCTTGGAAAAGGCAGCCATGATACCAGAGCTCCTGGCAGGTGCTGGCTTCTTGGCCGGGGCTGAAGTTGCGGCCTTTGCAGGTTTCTCGGTCTTTACAGCTGGCTTGGTTTGCTCAGCTGGCTTGGTTTCCACAGCGACCTTGGGTTCCTCCTTGACCGTTGAAGTGGCTTTTGGTTGTTGCTTGACAGCAGCCGTGGCAGCAGTGGCGGCTTTGGGACCAAGGCCCTTTCGCTCCCGAGTGCGCACATTGGGGTTGGTTATGCTGACTGGGACCTGTTTGTCACTTTTGCGGACCTCTTGCGCGAGATCTGCCAGCAAGGCCATGTCCTGAGAAGAGTGTCAGCTTGGTCCTGGTTCGGAGCATCGATGAATCAGCAACAAACCTTGACGGGTTGTGGAGAGACGCTGTAGACGTGAATTGTCGCAACCTCTTCATATTCCGCCAGAACATCTTACAGACAATAAGCACATGCCCTTGAATGTGACACCGGGCTGGAGCTTGGAAACTCACCTCTGAGCTTCTCCTCTGTGACCAGGTGAAGATGGTAGACAGGAACAACGTCGGTCACCGAGTCCGCATCGGGCATGTCCTCGTCTCCTCCATTCTCAGAATTGGTGTTGTACTTCACTCCATAGATGAGATAAGTGGCATGTACACTTCCAGGGCGCTTCGCATTTTGAGTCCGGTGAAACTCATAGAGCATCCTGTCGCAACAAATCAGTAGAGTTTTCCTGAATGAACCTTGAGTGGGAAACGTACTGCTTGGCAATGTTGACCGGCACTTGGAGAGTCTGGCTCAACAGAACATAATCGACCTGTCCATGTTAGCAAGTGTCAAATGCCATAACAGCCCGGAAATGCCCTGTACATACCACCTTTTCCTCCGCGAGAACGGTCTCAGACAGATATTTGAGATATGTGTCCATGATGATTGACTGGTGTGATTGTTTTCATTCAAACTGATGAATCCAAGGGCGAGGCAGTTGGATGGGAGTGAATGAGGTGCCGGATGGGAACGCGTCAAGTCGCGACTTTTGCTCCTGTGGAAAGCGTAAAGTGGTGCCGCGAAGTCACGTTATCCACTATAAAGCCACTGCCCACAGTTGACTGGCCTGCAGCCCCTGAAAGACCCCTGTCCAGATGACAGCCGGTCCGATGCAACGAGGCGCGAGAAAACGTTTGGTGTACCCACCAGTCGGCATCCAAAAGCTTACCTGATCCTGGGGACTTCAGCCATCACGGTTCACCGTTGAGTGTCCTCCACCGTGAACCCATTTTTCCCCCTCCAACATATTCCATCGCGCCTGTTTTGACTGTTGTTGTTGTTGTTGTTGTTGTTGTTGCGCCATGTTGCGCCAGTACTCAATCGTTTTGCCCACTTTGATCTAATCCTTCTTTTGCTTCGCGACTCTCGTTGCAACAATTTACCAGAGCTTGCATCTTTCGAGGTCGGCGCACCCGGCCACCACCGTGTACCAGTATGGCTTCGTTTCCACGGTTTCGGTTTTTAGCAATTGCCGTCATTTTTCACCTTGCCTACATTTACTCTATTTTCGACATTTACTTCGTCAGTCCCATCGTCTCGGGAATGCGCCTGTTCGAAGTCGAAAGGCCACCATCGCAGCGAGCGCCTGCGGATCGTCTAGTTTTGTTTGTGGGTACGTACACTCGACTGGCCCCTTTCTTGTCAAGTCTCTCAACTTACACAATGTGTACTTTCTAGGAGACGGATTGCGCGCCGACAAAGCATTTCAGTCCCACCCCGAGCCCTACCCGAAATCCGACAACGACCTTGTGCCAAGACCCCTGGCCCCTTTTCTGCGATCCAAGATCCTCGAGAAAGGCACGTTTGGTGTTTCCCACACACGCGTTCCCACCGAATCCAGACCAGGCCATGTTGCGCTTATTGCAGGTCTCTACGAAGATGTCTCGGCTGTCACCACCGGCTGGAAGATGAACCCGGTCAACTTTGACAGCGTGTTCAACCGCAGCAGACATACTTGGAGTTGGGGTAGTCCCGATATTTTGCCAATGTTTGAGCACGGTGCTGTTCCTGGGAGGGTTGATGCTTACATGTACGGCCATGAAATGGAGGACTTTTCGAGCGATGCTCTTGTTTTGGATCTTTGGGTATTCGACCATGTTAAGGAGCTGTTCGCCGAGGCCAAGACGAACAAGACGCTCGGTGATGCGCTGCGACAAGACAGGATTGTCTTCTTCCTGCATCTTTTGGGATTGGATACCACCGGTCACTTCCACCGTCCGTATTCCAAGGAGTACCTGAATAATATCAAGGTGGTGGACCAAGGCGTAAAGGAAATTACCGAGTTGATCGAAGATTTCTATCGCGACGGCAGGACGGCATTTGTGTTCACGGCCGACCATGGTATGAGTGACTGGGGAAGCCACGGCGACGGCCATCCGGACAACACGCGAACTCCCTTGATTTCTTGGGGCTCAGGGGTTGCCAAGCCTGAGCTGTACCCTGGAGGGGTGGCCCCTGGACATGACGAGTACTCTTCGGACTGGAATCTCGACCACGTCAGGAGGCACGATGTTGCGCAGGCGGACGTTGCTGCGCTCATGGCTTATCTTATTGGGGTCGAGTTTCCCGCAAACTCGGTGGGCGAGTTGCCGTTACCTTTCCTTGCGGCCGATTTGAAAGAAAAGGCCAAGGCATCGCTTGTTAATGCTCAGGGTGTCCTGGAGCAGTATCGCGTCAAGGAGGAACAGAAAATGGCTACCGAGCTCAGGTACAGACCTTATAAGCCGCTGAGCGAGAACGGTCTTACGGCTGAACGTCGCGTTGCCGACGTCAAGAAGCTTATTAGGAGTGGAAATTATGAGGAGGCGATTGAGGAATCTGCCGCCCTGATGAAAATCGGGCTCGGTGGTCTCAAATACCTCCAGAGATATGACTGGCTGTTCTTGCGAGCTTTGATCACCATCGGGTACTTTGGCTGGATGGCATATGCTCTGACGACTGTCATTGATTTGCATGTCTTGCACGGAAAGGTGAAGCCTTCCAGAACACTGGGTGGCACTGTCGTCGCCTCGTCTATCCTGGTTGCTCTTTACGCCTCCTTCGTCATCTCCAAGTCGCCCCCTACCTACTATCTCTATGCTTTCTTCCCAGTATTCTTCTGGGAGGGGGTCTATGCTCGACGGGAAAGTATTGCAGCGGGGGGCAAGCAACTGTTCGGCCACGTAAAGTCGGGCGCAAGTGTTGTTTCGCTTTTGTTCAACACGGCAATTTACATTGCAATCATCGTATCACTGGTATGTTTCTCGGTCTTCCCTCACCCAAATCATCCTGATGCTAACTCATATAGGCGCTGGGATACATTCACCGTGAGATCTTGACTGGTCTCTATGCAATTGGCGCTTTCTGGCCTATCGCCTATGGATTTTCTTTCCTGCGAGAGCATGCTGCTCTGTCCGCCACATGGTTCCTCTCATGCCTGGCCATGAGCACATTCACATTACTCCCGGCCATGAAGACCGAGGATGTTAATCAAATGTTCGTATCCCTCCCTCCAGCCACTTCTTGAGCGATACTGACCCTTCATCAGTGTTGGCGGTGGCGGTATTATGGTTCTTATCGGCCTTGTTTATCTGATGTTTGAAGACTATATCCTCGCCGACTTCTCCCGCCCTACCGAACAAGCCTCGCCAACGCAAAATCACTTCTCCCGCACCCTTGTGGGCGTCCAAATTGGCCTCACAGCCTTGGCCATGGTTGTCACGCGCTCCAGCGCACTCTCGCTGCAGGCCAAACAAGGCCTTCCTCGAGGCAACCAAATCATAGGCTGGGTTGTCCTGGTGCTGTCTCTTCTGATGCCTCTGGCCTATAAGCTTGTACCCAGCAATGAGTCGAACACGCACTACCTCCATCGGCTGCTCATCATCTTCCTCACCTGCGCCCCGACCTTTGTCATCTTGACCATCTCGTATGAAGGCCTCTTCTACGTGGCTTTCTCTGCGGTGCTGGTCAGCTGGGTGAGACTCGAGCACGCCATCTACCGCGCTTCGCCCCCTCCACCACCATCTCCCGAGGGCATCGACCACCGCCCTCTGACTCTTCCCGACCTCCGCACCTCGCTGTTCTTCCTAGTGCTCATCCAGTCAGCATTCTTCTCCACCGGAAACGTCGCCTCTGTCTCTTCCTTCTCTCTCGAGTCGGTGCTGCGGCTCATTCCCATCTTTGACCCCTTTTCGCAAGGCGCTCTGTTGATCTTGAAGTTGATGATTCCATTTGCTCTGATTTCGGCCAATCTTGGGATTCTGAACAAGAGGCTGGGGGTTGCGCCCTCGGCGCTGTTTATGACGGTTATGGCGGTCAGTGACGTGTTGACGCTCTATTTCTTTTGGGTGGTCAAGGATGAAGGGTCGTGGCTTGAGATTGGGAGCACGATCAGCCACTTTGTGATTGCGAGCTTGTTGTGTGTGTTTGTGGCGGCTTTGGAGCCGGTTAGCGGGGTGTTTATCTCGGGGGTGGAGGTTGAGAGGGAGGAGAAGGTTGTTGGAAATGGGGAGAAGAAAAATGGGGTGGTGGGCGATGGGAAGGCTGACGGGAGGATATGATGGGGAGTATGTGGAATGTGGGGGGTGTCATGTGGATACTAAAAAGGAAGGTATATATAAAATGATGGGCAGTACCTATATAGTGAGGTATTGGGTAGGGAGGTGACATAAAAGAATACATATATCATGATCCTGACATAGGCAGAAGTTTTGATCCTCTAAGCCGACATAGTGCGGTGGCTTTGCAACAACGAGGCTGTAAGAAACACATGGATATCATTGGACACGGCGGGTGGAGCTCCAAGCAACCCCACCTCCCCTTGGAGCCAGGAGCTTAGCTTGACACAAGGATGAGGCAGCTCAGTTACGAACGCCCCCAACAACCTGGAACCTGCTTGTTGTAAGTACACTTATCACTTCTCTCTCTCTCTCTCTCTCTCTCTCTCTCTCTCTCTCTCTCTCTCTCTCTCTCTCTATCTAAACACAACAACACCAAAAACCACACACACACACACACACTCTCTCTCACACACACATGCACACACACACACATACATACACATATATATACATATATATATATATATATATCAAAAAATTTTATACCACACCTAC